TGCCTCCTTAATTACTTTTCAGTACTTTCATTAGATCTAACATATACAAATTTTCAGCAAATTTACAAATAAAAAATAGTTGCATAATATAATTATCTCTTTATTGTCGATTTTTTCCTGCTGCACACATTTGAAAATGTGCTAACTGAAAAGAATAATCCGAATCTCTTAAAAATAAATCGAAAAATTTCAGGATCTGCATGTAGTGAAGTCGATGATAGTCATGTTGATATGCAGTATGCATCAACTGATACGAATACGATAAAGGACAGTCAAAATTGGCAGTCGGTGACCAATTTATCTGAACTCCAAATTTCACCCACTAGTGAAATGTTGTATGACCATGATTTTGTGAGTTATTATAAATTACTTTTCTTTGTTTACAAATTTTGTGAATTCATTGGACTATGGATGTACGATTCATAAATTACCTATATTTAAGGATCTGAAGAATCTGTCGGATGAATTATCGTCATCTGAAAATTCCAAAAGATCCAATTCGTCTACGACTACTGGAAGTGCGGTGTATTTTACCCAGGTCATGAAATTGCCGAAAGTCAATCCTACTGATGAAGTAGATGGGCACATGTCGCATCAAAAACTCGAAAAGCAACTCGAACTAAAGTACATTTTAATTTCATTTTGTAATTTCAGTGAATTTTTCTGTTCTATCTCTCTTTTAAAAGTAATTGATAGGAGTATGAAAAGGCACGAGTAAGTTATCTATTCAATACAGCGTTATTCTTTTTGCCGTGAAAGTCATGTTGCATACATACCTTATAAAAGATTATCTTATTTGATTCACTCATATCTGTCCAGGCTATTGATAAGAAATGCAAAATGTTACTCATTGAAATGAATATTTCCGTTACTTATTTAAAACTGGTAAAAAATTCATTTAACGAAGTCGGTTTTTATCGTTTTTCGCAACAAATAAAATTATTTTCACATTGGAAATAAGAAATATAGTGAAATATATTTGCAGTGAGATGCATCTAAATCTTGAAAGTGAACGTCCTTCTGATGCCGAGAATCCTATTTCTTCGTCTTCATCTTGCGGGAAATTTCTAGTCACACTTTCGGATTCCGCACGTGAGTTGAGTGTCATATCAGAACACAGTGATGCTTATGTTGTGAGTTTTTTCCATTGTTGTTTAAAATAGAAATTGCAGTTTATTTTTGTATTAATACGGTGATTATGTGACTGCTTCTGAATCCATAATTCATCTTCTCTCATTTCCCGGACAAAAAAAAAATTGAGTATATCCAAAAAATAAAGTGAATAAAAAATGCAGAAAAAGTTAACGAAAAATTTTATGAATGCACATTTTATAAAAGTAAATATACCATAGCATTCTATTACGTAGAAACGTTAACATTTTGAGTAGTTAATGCAAAAGTTTAATGTTTTCAGAAGTACTCATTCTTTTGTTTCTATGTCCACTATGTCCATATTTCTTTTTAAACATGAGTAGAATAGTGTCAGCTTGTTCAAAATCTTGCATGATCATTTCATTTTATGGGAAAATGACAGTAATTGTAAAAAACTTTCATTTAGAAAAACATTTAGATCACAATATCAAAATCTTTTCTCACTTTTGTTTATGTATTGTATAGCGTGCATGATAGTACACATTTCACACTCTTTGAATGTTAAAAATCATTATTTGAAATTTAAAAGTAATATTTTCAGATTTTTTTTTCTGCAGGAAAATGAAATGCGTAACTCGGACATATCAATAAATGAGCCTAGTTTACTTGAAAAAAATCATCGTGAAAGAGCTGTTGATGTTGATGGTATTATTTCACAGCATCGTCGTTGGCATTCTGAAAGCAGAAATATAGTCAAAAAGACATGTAATCAAGAAGAACGGGTAATTTCTTTTTTCTCTCAAGTTGATTTTGAATTTTGATGATAAAAGTAATTTCAGTAGCTTTGATGTATATCTCAAATCATCAGGTAATTCCTTTTTTGCTGCACTTAGTTATGGAAAAAAAATTCTGCTTGAAACTAGCAATTTGTCAATGAACCTGGATTCTTTACGTCACATTATGAAAAGAAATTTGTTTTAGCTCTAAATGTTCTGTAAATCTTTAACAGCATTGCAGTTGATATCGTTTTTCATCAAACAATATTTAACATCGCTGTTACTCTAGAATTTGCAGAAAAATTATTTTTTGAATTTTAAATAAAAGTTTTATTTTAGAGATGTTTTCTTGAGTTTACTGTACGAATTTTTTTGGGCATAATTTAGGTACCATTAAAGAAATCAGTGCCGCTGCGTAATTCGCCATCACGAAATGGTGAACTTTCGGAGCGATGTAAAAGTCAAATGATTTTGAAAGAGGAAAATAATTTCATCAAGAATTGGGCAAAACTTCAAGTATTGGACGGCATCAAGAATTTATCATCCTCATCTCCGAACGTTAATGAAATGGCTATACCATCTCCATCTCATGAAGGTTATCATACTTTATGAATCTATCTAGCATTTTTTAATAAAAGATTATCTGACATTGCTAAAGTAAACTAGAATTAATGCAAGTCATGTACTACTATTCCTTAAATTTGTATAATTAATACTTTTATTCGTAATTCATTAACTTGTAATATCTTTTTTTATTATAATAAAAACAGGAATTTACGTTGATAAGAACAACTAATAATTAGAATTATATCTGAAAAACATTGTGTTTTTTTGCCGTTATATACAAATCACTGTTTTGCAGATAATTCTGAACAAGTAGTACAAGATATGCAACTTTATCCAACTGTTCAACATAAAGAAAAGTATAAATGGAAAGAAGCTTTACCAGCAGCATTTGGACCACATCAGGTATTATTCATTTCAGTTCAAAACTTTGACAAATTTGTGAAATTTTTCACGAAAAAATTGTTTAGCTCCCAAACTCTCTCATCATTCATTTAATAAATATCATGAAATGAGTCGTGGATAACTTAATCATTTGGATGAATTATTGGAATCTGAATGCATTAATGGCTCATTTATTCTGATTTGATAAATTATTTTATTAAATTTGCCATCATGAAGCACAAATCACGGATAAATTAAATTTCAAAGAGTTTTCAGTTTTATGATATGTTGCATTTTCATCCGAAATTTGGTAAATTTTGTATAGTTTAAATTCTGTCCAAGATTGCATGAACCCATACAGTTGTGGCGTTATTTTGTTGTTTGTGGGGTGAAAGATCATATGATGTGATCACCCATAATAGCAGTGCATTCTTGAATCTTGTGATGTGATGTGGAATAGTATGTGCTGCCATTTGATTTAGACAAGTTTGTATATATTGAAATATGATTTTATGATTAACATATTTCAATGGAATTCAAGATGTTTCAGCTCCGTAGCTTATCAAATCTCTTTAAAGAATAAATTTTTGCAGTACAAATTCCATGATTCCTTTCAAGAGAGTTTTTAGACCCAAATATCTGATTTAGTATATCTTTTATGAATAAGATTTCAAGATTATATTGTGTATAAGTTGTTTCTGTTCTGTGATTTACTTCTGCACCATTCTTATGAACACTGATGGTTTTTTCTTGAAAATTAGAATAATTTAAGGTTATTGGACCGATTCAACGATCTTCTCGAACAGTAGCTACTGGTTCTATGCGGAAGGCATCTGATAGGTTAGATTTACTTTAAAATACTGTTTTTTTTCGGCTGGAAAAAGAAAAGAATGTTGTTCATTTTTAAAATTTTGTTTCTTAAAATTCAAAAATAATCAAAAAAATAAAAAGAAACACCAATTTTTTTAGTTCTATACAATATGAAAAGAAAATTCGCGTTGAAAAGAAACATTCACGAAGGACAAGCACACTTTTCGACTTCTTTCGCGTATGTAATTTATATTTCTGCCAACAATTTTTAAATCAAAAATTTTCCAAATATAATTCACCTTTAAGTTTTTGACTGCTGAGAAAATATCGGTGAATGCTCATATATTTATGACCATTACTCTGAGAAAGTATGTCTTTTCTGTCGCTAACTCATGCAGTTATCTACCAATCATGGCGTACTAGTAGTTTCGTTAGAATAGGTGCATCGTGTTAACTCTTAGATTAATTGTATATATTGCATTTACTCGGTAGTGAAAAGTTGTTAGCTGAATTAAGGTGTGATTTTAGAAAATTCGGAAAAAAGTTTTTCAAAAAGTATGAAATTCTGATGTGCAAATTAGACTTAATCCGAAATTCTTTTTTAAAAAAAGTCAAATACATTTGATGTCATTATTAATTGAACTTTGATTTTTTACTTCAATTAATCCAACTGACTGATTTTTAGAAACCCGATTTACGGAGCTTTTCGGATGTTGTCACACCGGTTAATGATGTAAGTTTGGTTGCTTTTATTCTTTTAGAATCTTATTAACTTTACGATCTGACATATTTTTTCTACTGCCTATTAGATGATTTGAACGAAACCTTAAATTTAATTTTTCGACTCACGTGTTAAAACCCAAAACTTAATGAAATAGTGGTTGTCATCATCAAAATTCAGGAATATCTTATGGAATATATAGTCAGATTCTTATGTTTCTACATACTAAATACATTTTGACATTATTCGTCTAAACAGTTCACAATTTCACAGCTTATTCCTTTTAATTAATAAATATTTTTGTGGAAAGTATGATGTTATTAGTTTATCATTTTTAACCACTGTTTTCAGAAACGATCGACAATTGCAGAAGGATTTGATGGTTAGTTACATATTAACTGCCATCTGGGGATAATTATACATATTTTCATTTTGTAACATTTCATTTTTATTCTAAATGGAAGGAAATGTGCTAATATTGATTGAAATTTGAGAATGAATCTGAAATATTTCACTGTGCTATGCTATAAATATCTGTGGGTATTTTAAGGCAGTAAGATAAGACTTAAGTCGATGTTACTTTCCTCGTACTATTTTTCAAATTTATGTTTTTACTCTATCGAATTCGTTCGTTAATTATTCACTGCTCTCATTCTCTTCACTTACTGATCTTCCATATCATATGGTACAACACTTACTGCTAACGAATATCTTGATTCATAAAAAAAGGTCATCATATTTTGAATAATTCGCTAATTTTATTCGGTTTATAGGCCAAGTATTTTTTCCATAGTAATTTCTGAACTTTTACTAATTAACATACAACCATATTGCCCATTTTCTTAAGTATTTACTATGATTTCATCCCATTATTAATTTAAATCCAAAAATTTAATATTACTAGGATGAAATTATGTTTGAAATAAAAGCATAGATAAATTTATATCAGCCTAAGATTTATCATTTTCTTTATTCTGAATTTTAAATTTTGAGAAAGAGGAAATTCGCGCTTTGTTGCTTAAATTTAATGGTATTTGATCCATACAACACGAATGCTTTTCTGATTTTATTTCATTCTTTTTTATAACTCATAAATTTTACTGAAACAGCGGATGAATTTTAAGCGTAGAAGCAAAGAATAAAAAAGAGGCTAGCCATTTAACATACTTTTTTTTCTTTATTAAATTAATCTTTTCTTATTAAATTAAATTTTCTTATCAGGTAAATGTTGTATTATGAATTGAAAACCATGATAACTAGAATTTTCAATTGTGAGCATAATTTTTCTGCTTACATTTATTTTTAATTTACTATACATGAAAAGAAAAAGATTGTGAACATTGGAGGGCATCAAATATTAAAAATATAATTCTTTTCTTTAAAAGAGCATTTGATGCACCATCTTTTATTAGGAAAGTTTATTTGCAAGCATATAACGGACGTGCTAAAGAACGGAAAATGATAATAAAAGTCATGTATTTATAAATGCTCATTTAATTTTTTATATGGTTTATGGTCTGCGGACTTCCTTGAAAATATGGAAGACAGTGATAACAATTATCGATGAAATGAACCGTGATGATAACATTGTTAATAATGGGAAGTGATAATATTGCTAGATCAATAGATTGAAGATCTGATTTATGATCTTTCGTGTACAATTTTCATATTTCATCATCCTCAACATATAGCGATTAACTTCAGACGCTCATGGTAAAAAAAATCAACTATACGTGAAGCAAAATAATTATTCAAGCAAATTAAATGCTAATTTTTTAAACCATTAGCTGTTCATTAATGAGGATATTAAACGGCTTCATGTTGTAGCATCAAGAGATGCGCTGCAGAGAAGAATTATTGAGATTCTGATGAAGTTTAAGGAAATCTTTTGATCATCATCATCTGAATTTCACAGTTAATTTCATCTTAAAATTCCTAAGCGGATTTTCTTTCAAATGATAAATCTTAATTTCAGGGACATTGGATACTTTCACAAAACCATTATTAGACAAAATACCGAATACAGTTGGCACAAATGATGGCCGTTACTTAGCTGCCCATTTCAACAAAGAATCACAAAAATTTATTCCAGAAGTGTAAGAACATATCCTTTTAATAAATATATTAAAGAACTGTTTGCATCATTTTAACATACTTTTTGCAATCCATTTGATTTCTACGCATCGAACACTTATTTGGGAAAATTCTCGGGAGCGTACTCATCATGACTGTTTATACAAATGTTTCATAGGATGATGGCCGCAACGTGAACAACTTCCTGATTATTCTGTTATTCTAATATCTGATGGGAAAAAAAATTAATGCCAAAGCCTGGTGAGTTACTCTCTCGAAAATTTTCCCAAATAAATATTCTGATGTGCAACAAAACTTTTTAGAGTTAAATGATTTTGAAGTTGATCTAAATTCCAGGAACAAACCAGAATGGGCTGACCTGGATTTATGGATTGAAGAACCGGCAACATGGTCGTCTACTAACTATTCTCTCAAATTAAGTAAAAAAGAGCGGAAGAAACAAGATATTATTCATGGTAGGAAAAGATTTATTTTTGTCTTCACTGCATCTGTAATTATCAATTAATTATTTTATTCATTCCGTGTACTGTTAAAAGATGTGAGTGAATGGGATTTATTTGAATTGATTTTTAGATATCTGTTTTCAGAGCTGTATTTAACTGAGAAACATCACTGCCAAGTACTGGTAATTCTTCAGCAAGTAAGTTTTTATTATTTAATTTAACTGTTATTACGATGGTATTAAATTTTCATAAGTAAGAAATGGCGAAGGAGGAGGAAAATGTCAAGAAGCTCTTTATATATTTCGGAATCTGTTTACTGAATGGTTTTTCAAATTTTGTTTCATTATTAACAAATTTCATTGATTTGTGAAGATGAATTTTACATTGATTTTAGAGTAGCAATATGCATTCTGCATTAAACATATGTATGACGTAAGTTAATTCGAAGTTATTTAGAATAACTTTGTTGAATAAAAATAGATTTCTTATTTTCAGGTATATCAAGAAGGACTTCGAATAAAGGGTATTATGGATGAGGCAAAACAGAGCGAATTGATTCCACCCGTGTTGGATGCATTACTTGATTTTCATCTTAATTTTCTGCGACAGCTGAACCAGAAAAGATTAGAAACAGAAGTTGTTAATTCGATAGCAAAAATTATTTACTCAGAGGTAAGAAATATGTGGCTATTTTGTTGTTTCCATAATATTTTCATATTCTATCAGAAAAATGGGCAAATTTCGATATGATGTTTTTGCAGAAATTATAATTTTAATATTTAGAATAGTTGGAGAATACATTTATAGCTGGATTTAATAGCTGAGTAAATGATATTTGGTTTGTCGATTTATTTTGAAATCAGATACAAATGGTTCATATTGGAAAGTTAAAGTTAATGGTGCCCAAAATGTTTTTTTTTCTCAGGAAAATTATCTTTATTTCTGATAATCTTGCAGCGTTATAATCAGTTTCTTTATTGAATTTCTGCTTTGCTGATTGCAGTAATATTTTCCTATTCTACACTTTGCTGTTATAAACTCAGCTGATAAATTTTGCTTGCAGTTTGAAAATGGAGAACGAAATCAGGCTGCAGTATATGCTTATACGGAATTCTGTTCAAAGTACGATCAATGTGGTCGTTTATATGACGAATGGATGTTAAAAAATGCTGAGCTTAGGAAATTTTTTGATGTAAGAAATTTGATCGATGTCAAGTTATTTTCAAAAAAAAAAGTCATTAGCAGACCAAATTTATGTAAAATTTCCGATTATTGAAAGATTTTTATTTTTTCCAGCAATATGAACAAGATTCAACTTATAAAGGACGAACGTTCAAAATGTGTTTGCTGCTAATTGCTCAGAGATTGACTAAATATCCTGTACTAGTTGAAAAAGTGAGTGTAAATCTACATTCTTTCTATATGCCATAAATACTTCTCTATAACTTGTTAATATAACTTATCACGAATATTTCAGTTGGCACTGTTATTTGGTCTTAGTCTTTATGCAGAATCAAAACTAAATTTAAAGGGAAAAATTAGCAGAGAAATGATGAGGCATCTAAAAATAGAACCGTCACAAATGAAGACCATACACCATAAGGATTGTCAAACTTTTGATAAAAGACAATAAAAATAGTTTTTTTTTCAGAATAAATGACTTTTATTTATTCTTTTTTATTAATTGCCTAGTTTGTAATAATTTACATATCGAGCCAAACAAGAACTTTCCCATTATTTTCAAACAAAGGATACAAATAGTGGACGATATATGATAGGATCAATATTTCTTTGTTACTTTTTAAAATTGAATTTGGTTTTGTTAAAAATATCTCAGTAGACTTTTGGATTTCTAAATTTCATTGACTTATTTCCTGAATACTGACGAGTATAAGTTGTTGCAGATTACTGAGATGGAAAGTGGTGCAGCAAAAGAAGAAAGCGTACGGGCTCATCAAGCAGTGAAGAAATTTGCGATGCATGTTAATAATGAAATTGCTAAGTTAGAAGTATGTAGGCGTTGGGATCGAATATGTTCACAAATGGATCATTCATCAAAAGGTCGATTTGGACCGAATGATTTTTTTACAGTACGTTAATGCAATTTTTTTAAATTGATATTTTGATCCAATTTTGCTCCAAAAAAAGGATGCGTCATATTTCTGTTCTAGTATGATGATCTCATATTAAATGGCAATGATGAGAAACGACGTGTAATTTGCATAGGTGGTGCAGTTTGTCAGAATTCGCAGAAAAAACAAACTGAAGGAACAGGTAGACTTTTCGTTGAATGATAGCTTTTTCTGCCAATTTTACTTTTCCTATTCATTTCGATTTTTACTTCATATATCTTTTGATTTCAACTATCGTTTGATGAATAATATTATAATTCGTTCCCGACATTACATGATATCTTCCGATTTGCTGAAATTTCTGTTCTAGTTCATTTTTTCAATTATGAGACAGGGAATTTACAAAAATGAAAAAAAAAAGGATAAAACATTGTTATGAATTAACTGAAATTATATTTTAAAGCATTTTGGACATATAGTTGGTTGTAGAATTTTGTTCCACTTTATTTGTTGGCAATTTTTATTATGCACTGGGCATATTATTATGAAACTTTTTCAAGTTCTGTAACATATGTGCTCCAATTAGGAGGTACAAATCAGAAAACATAAATATGTAAAATTAATATTTCTTAAGAGATCTTTAAATACATTTCAGAAGTAGTATTAGTATTATTCGATGATATTCTGATCATGTTGACAAATTCGAGTAGCAGCAAATATGTGTTTCTTGATCGTGGATCTGGGGTTTTTTTTTCCTTTTTTTTTTGAGATATAAAAGCATTCATTTATTTAAACATTGAAAGTGAAAAAATCAAATTTGACAGAGTGAGGAAAAGAAATAGTGATATTAAGCTGAAATATGAGAGATTAGGATATGAAGAAGAAAAGAGAGATAATTTGAAAAGTATGGGAGGATGGACTGTGCTCTCTCTCTCTCTCTCTCTTCAAAATTTCACTCATTTCAACCAAAGAGAGGAAGAAAAGAGGAGGAATGAGAACTACAAAATGCCGACTGGCAGCAATAATATTTCGGGTTCTTATCCGCCCACTTTAAACTAACGGGAAAAAATAACGAAAAATAAAAAAAAAATTTTTGAATAAATCAAAATTCCCATAATAATACCCCATTTAAATTAGCATCAATTCAATTAGTCCTGTTAAGATTTTAATTGTATTAAAATTTAAATAATTCACAAAATAATATATTTACATAAATTTGCATTTTAGAGAAAAAAAAAGAACTTACTGGAATATATGAAATAACTTGTAATAATAAATTATGATATGTTTTAGGAATTTTTAAAATTAATTGACTTAAGCATATGCAACATAGTTATTGATGCTGAATGTTAGGACAGTATATCAAATCATCATTAATCTCATATTCATTATCGATTGCAATATGATAGTTAAACTGAGATGAGAGGAAAAAGGGACAAAATAGGACCTTAAAGAAGTAAATAGTCAATTGGTTTCCTTTGCAGGCATATAATGCTAAATAGCAGCTCTCAACTCTGACTGCTATTTTATATGAGTAAACGAAATAGGTGGTAGTGGTCAGTAAACAAATTCGAGACCAAATCATTGATTGTTGATCGATAAGTTATTTTTTAATGGCTTTTTTTTTGCTCCCTTTTATATTCATTTATTAAGCAAATATATTAATTCCTTTCAAATTTTTGTTACAATTTTTTTCCAAAAATTTCTGCATTTTCAGTCTAATAATAGAAATAGATGTGATTAAAGGACGAACATTCCCTGCATGATAATGAGCCAGGAAATTAAACTTGGCTCATTTATTATCATAAGTACGAACGGTGTCTCCTGAAATATCAATACATAGACAGGAACAGACACACACACACACACACACACACACACATACACACATACATATAGAAGTATGTACAGACAATTACATACATCTGAACTTTTATTCTCAAATTAATTCTGAGAATTGATTAATATCAAGAGAGAGAAGAGAGAGAGAAGAGAGAGAGAAAGATGATTTTATGGTGAAGGCAATTACGGGCCATATCTATCAATGGAAGATCACATTTGTTTTACTGATCTACCTTTAATTTAATATTTCATTTTAATTTTCTTTTATCTTTTGATAATATTCAATGTTACGCATGCATGTAATCACGTTACACACGTGATAACGTCATTTAGAATTTCACGCTATCGTATCATTTTTAACTTTTTGCTGCATAATTAAAACAAAGAAGTGAAGTGTATGACAAATGAGAGATGCTATTGTGTAAATGCAACGATCGGTCGGATAAGGCAGACGATAAAAATGTGTCATTTGCATAAGGCGGAAGGAAACATACACAACAACATAGAATACACAGATACACAAGATGGAAAGGGAGAGAGGGAGGGAGAGAGAGGCAGGGAGAGTGACGTGCGGCACATCTCCGCAAACGTTTCGTCATGAGAATGAAAGTGCTTTGTTGGTTGATGTTACGTTGTGTGTGTGTGTGTATGTGTGTGTGTATGTGTATGTGTATGTGTATGTGTATGTGTATGTGTGTGTGTGTGTGTATGTGTGTGTGTGTGTGTGTGCGCACTTTACTCCAACTGAAATTTAATTTGATAATAGACAGGCAGAAAGTGCACTCTACCAATTGTTGATCGTATCGACTATGTGATATTATCAGTGCTTCTTCGATCAATTAGGAATGTTCTATTCTTATCAATTTAAAAATCATTTAATGAAATGATTAGTAGAAAGAGTGGACAGTTTAATTAATCGTTGAAATGTGAAAAAAAAAAATCTGGTTTGATTTAAATCATCTATGGGAGAGAAATTGCACATTTATTTATTGGTTGTTGTATTCTCTTCATTATCGAATTTTAATTCATTAATTAAATGAATGAGATTTCTTTGGTAACGAAGGGTTAGCATTTTCATTGTAAAATGATTATTTGCTAAACACTAAACACTCTTCTTATTAATAGTAGTAAAATTAATAAAAAGTTTGGAGGAGAGAATTTTTCTAATACAAATCAAAATTTATACTGAAAAATGAACAAGGAAGGATGTTGTTTGAAGATGAATGGAATGAATTAACGATGACAATTTATGAAAGAAATAAAAATTTAAAAGTGAATAATATTTATAAGTTATGAAAAGAAGAAATTGCAAGCAATGTCATGCGCTATGTTTTGCGAGAAAATTGAAAATTTTAAGCTGTTGATTGAAATTTCATTGAAGCTTTTTGCAGTATTTTTGCAGTATAAAGTTATTGTTTGTGATTAATGTTGAATGTTTATTAAGCTTCTTTTTTTATACTAATATTTTTTAAACAGTTGATTGAAATCTCTCAAATAGGAAGCAAAAAATGACGAGTTTAGGGGGAAAAAAGAAATCTGTTATTTATATTAAAATTACTAAAAGTTAACTAAGAAAGTGACAAAGATTACAGTAAAGCAAAATTGAAAAAATTTTTTTTCTTCTTCATTTTTCATTTTCTTTTCCTTGAAATTTCAATTTTCTTTGGCATCTTTTCTGTTGATGAGAACGTTCTCAATTTTTTTTTTTTTAAATTTACATCTTACTGTTGTAATAATGCTATTTATCTTAGAGTAAAGGTAAAAGTTCATGAGAAGAAATTATATGAACATTTAAGATATCACAGTTTGTTAAAGTGACTGTTCAAAAGAATACAATAATAATAGTACAATAATGAAAATGAATATGCTTTACAGGTTCGCGTAGTAAAATAAAATATAAAATTCTTGCGAGATAAAGTAAAATATAGAATGATAAAAGTTATGCAAAAAAAAATTATGCAAAAAAAAGAAAAACTAATTTAAAAATATTACACAAATATTACACAATATATGTTTGTGCAATATTTGAAAAAACTAAGAATGTAAAGGACTAACAGAATTAACACGTGAAATTGTATCATACATTTATCCAACATATTCATGATAACAACACCTATTTCATGTGCATGTATTATCAGCAACCTATTGATAATGATGGAAGTGTCACATGAAGAGAGGAAAATTTCAAGTTTATTTCGAGAAGAAAAAGCATAAGAAAAACTTTCGTAACGAAAATTTTTTCATAAGAAAGAGGGATCAAAATTTACGCAAGAAATTCTGTTGCTGTTCAGCACATAATAATTGATTATTTGGAACATTCAGTTCCAGTAAGTTTTTTCATTTCTTTAAATCAAATTCTCAGAAGAAGCAAGGAAATTTTCTCACTTATGTACTGTATTCATAATAATAATGATGTATTCATAAAGAATTTTATTGATTAGATATTAGGGAATAGAATTATCCAATTTCACCATGGACCATATAAAAAATGGCTTTTGTTGGATATCCAATTAACTTTGTCAAGTTCGTAATTTTTGCCGTACGGATTCATATTTTTTAAAAATTTCTAATATTTTCTCCTCATTTTTCTATACTGTTAAGTAAATTTCAACTTATTAGCTTTAATTTTTTAAATAAGCTAACAGCGCCAGTTTTTCTTCCCAAAACACCAGTTTCATACAATTCTTCATACAATTTTTTTAAAAAAAAATTTTATTCCATAATATCATACCAGATCATGATAATATCTGACATTCACGAATATCAATTGCTCAACGAATCCAATCCCAATTACTATAAAAATTATATCCAACAGTGATATCTCAGTTTAAGGGAATTTATTTAGAAAATGAAGAGACATTGGACACTGTCAAAAGTACTTTGCAATTTCTTAATATATAATTTAAAAATAGCAAATTCAATTATACACGACTGATGCTTCACAATTTTCATCCTTCAAACATACTTGTGCTGAATGATAAATTCGATTGAATATAAGAAAAACATTTTCTGATATTGCATTAAATGCAATTATCCTCCCATAAAAGTTCGCATTAGACGCATAAACTTCAATAAAAGGATAAAAACATAACAAGCACAATGTAGACAAACAAGAGAAAATGAGAATAATCTATAACTGATTCTGAACATGTGCAATTTCAGCTCCTTCATTTTCTTCGCTTTCAAACATATCGTGTTTCCATACTTCATCAGCTGGATTTTTTTCAGAGCGCTTTTTATGGTAGGATTCATAATTATCGTCAAGGGTATCATCGTTTTTCCGTACCTTAATCCAATGTTATTATTATTATTATTATCAAATATGTATAACAACCTAGTCACAGTTATAATTATTTGTAAATTACATTTCTGTTTTCAATACGTACAACGATCTAGTTAACACTATAATTATTCATAATTTATACTGGAATTTTTTCCTATGTTAGAAAACAGTATTTTCACTAGCAAAGATGAGGACAATACGCTAGCAAATATTTCATTTCCGCAGACGCCAGCTTGTTTAGTTGAATTAAAATGGTAAAGAATGATTGCATGAAAAGATTTCGGGTTTTTTATATCAATTTAAGTAACTGAGATCACGACATACAAGTTTTGCTGAAGAAATAATTGTAGTAATAAAAGCAAATTATCTCTAATGAGGTGTAACAAGACAAAGGACGATGTCTATAAAAAATTCTTACTACCATTCATAAAGCTGCAGTCACAAAATCTAATACGAAGACAAAAAATTCGGCAGAACAAAGATGAATCAGGATAATTTTATTAAATGAAAAAAGTGATACATTTCACTTAGTAGAAGATTTCTATACTAAAAATAAAATCTATACAAATTTCGTTCAATAAAATCTACGCAAAAGTCCTATCCAAGAGCTCGAAACTCTTTTATATGAAACATAGCGCTTAGTAGAATTAAAGTCAGTGTAAGAGAGCACGAAGCCTACTAAGCTAAACCATATAATATAGCAGTTCTGTTTCTACAAGATATCCAATGTATAACGTATTCGAGATAAACAAACATTGCAGAATGATTATTATGTGGTAAAATTATGTACTAGATTAATCACCGTATGATTAGAAGAAAAAAGCAATAATGTATAAGAAAGCAAGGACGAAACAGTTTTGGAATTCATTTTTTTTTTTAAAAATTCACGACCAAAAAGCTAACATTATCATTTTTAAAATACATGACAGGCTTCACAATTTGGAAGGTGTCATCGATCGTAATTGCGAGAGCGCCGATGGCATAATAGAAAAGATATCTCGCCAGAGATATAAACGAGCAGTGGATTTTCATAAAAATTGAAATAAAACAGTTCACAATAACAGAATATGATTCGTTAATAGAGAGAATGAGCCCAAAACATTTCATTTTAAAAGAGAATCTGGTTGAAAACTGAGATAAATTTATAATACCTTTCGAACATTTCGCCAGCCAACTGGTAGCGATTGCCAGCCACTGTCACCAGAAGCGGAATATCTTGATCGAGATACGCGTGCAGGCTTTGTAGCTCGATCATCATGCTGCAAAATCAGGGATGCATGAAACATAAAGTTCCAGGGACCGCGATAGGAGAGATATGTCATAGCAGCATTAATTTGAAGCGCTATATGACAATTTATTTCAATTTTAATAATTTCAAAAAATGAGATATCTAACAACACGTCAACAGGACTGTATTGTTCAATAGAGCATATCTTTCGATGATTAAACGATCTCACACCAAAGACATGAAATAATTTTCTGAAGTTCTCACTATTTATTGCTAAGTTATGCATAGTGCATTTAAAATACTGGCATCTTTTGTGCAGAAGATATTACCGTAAAATATGAACGTCCTGTAGGAACTTTACATGGGTCAAACAGATTCATCACCGGCTTTTCTTCATCGTTCATTGATTTATTTTGCTCAGTAGCTCGCTGATAAGATTGCCGGCTATTACGTCCTGCAAAAATATGAAGAATCATCCGGAATAAAAGACAAAAGAATCATATCTAATATGCAAAACTTTACTTTTTACCTTGAAAACTAGAATGGTCCAGTATTGTGCAAAGTCTAAGTTTATCATCGGCTTTATGAACACATGAAGATAATCCAGAAAATGCTAACAAAACGAAATAATTTTTAATAATTACATAAATTTTCTCTAAGAAAGTAAACATTTCTTGAATTCCTAAAAAAACTAACCGATGTGTGTACGTTGATCGGCCAAGTCGCCTCCTCCAATGCCGCGTCGTAGCGGATACATCGGAGTGCGACGACGGTCCATTCTGTAAATAATATTTATTTCTAACCAACATTCGGCGCACATATATACATATGAAGCCACAATACTTGGCCAAAACGACTCCCTTTCAGCAACGTTAGCAAAAAATAAAAACAACCATCTGATTTGGGGCTCTCCCTCTCAAATACGTGACATCACACATACAGAAATGTCACCAATCGTCCACTTACCCTTGCCTCATTCCAAATCCACTGAAATAAAAAAAAAATGGTAGGGAACAAAAAAAATCAACAAACGCAATGAAAAATTTTGGTTTCTTCATTTTTTTTTTCACAAAAGTCTACATACGTACAAATAAAACTCACCTGTTTCTTGAGCCCCAAAATCCACGCCTATCCGTTGTGCCAGCAAATTGGCGATATTGTATTCTTTCAGGACGATTCTAAAAAATTTTTGAAATTATTTAGACTAACAACTAAACTTTCTGGATAGATAAAACCATTCAGCATGCATCCTATGTCCTTTTTTCGCATGATAGCTTTTAAATTTTGAATTGGAACTACAAAATAATGATAAGCAATTTCTGCGTATAATAGTATATTTTATATCTGCAAGAACCTCACGTTAATCAAAATGTTTTTTTTTTTTTAATTTCAGTAGAAAAAATTTGAGTTTGACGTAATCGAGTGAGAAATACAAGTTGAAATCTAGTCCATTTCATGAATCATTGACTGGATCATATGACGATTTGGATCTCTTTTTAGCATGGAAAAAAATCCAATCTTAATGAAGTTTTTCAATACACGCTTTGTTGTGTTTTCATATCACTAAATTGTTAGTACTAAACTATTATGAAATCGGTATAAAAAAAGACGCAAAAAAATAACGTGAAAAAATAACGTGGTATGAAGTAATGTTTTTATCTCCAAAGCTACTCAATTCTCAAATTTCACTTATCATTATCTTTTTTAAACTTCGTTATAACGTTCTAAAAATAACGTACTTTTTAACGCCATTGATAAAGAAAAACGAAATGTGATACTTTAAAACAAGATGAACATGAAAAATCATTTACTTGAATGCCATCTTTTCCTCGGTTTGCTGAAATCAGTTATATTAAGACAATTTACATTTAACAGACTCAGAAGACTTAGAAGCATAGAACACTATAGCATCTATGATGAGCAAATATGAAATAAAATTCCAGCTTTAAAATAATCTGCACTTCCTAGACCGTTTTAGGTTTATCTTTTCTTGTTAATGATACCTTGACGATAAAGGTTAGAAAACTAATCATTCACTATTCAACCAAAACTCCAAAGTGCTGATTTAGCGTCGACAAATCTTATAAGGCAATTTTCGAATTTAGCATTTAGTTTTTCTATTTTTCATCCATCAGTTCTAATCCTCCTTATTACAAACATGCACATACAAATAAGCCATGCAGAGACAAAAAAAAGTATTAAAAAGCTAAATGGAAATATTCCAAAAAATCATAAATATGCTAACCTGATTTCGACTGTTGCTCCTTTTGACTTAATGCTAATATGTCAAGCTCGTTAACTGGTGACGGTTTCGATTTTCGCAACGGTGACGAGCGATGGATCACTTTCTTCGAGAGTACAACTTTAGAGGAATAACTGGTAGTTTTCTTCGGAGTGCTGCTGCGACCGCTGCTCTTTCTGTAATTGAGTCGTTCCCGTCGGCTACCCGAACTATCTCCCAATGACCGCCCTGACCTTTCCCTTCTGACTGCACCTGAAGACCGACCTTTCGATCGCATACCTATCTTTCATGCGTTTATCACACTTCAACCTAATATTTAACAGGATAAGCAGAAATGAGTCGCGATGCAACACAATCGTTTCACCCATCTTTGATTTCTACGATTCGGAGAAAGTTATGTTTTAGATCGTTAAGTAAATAGAGGACCCCAAGGATTATTGTCTACGATTGGGATGAACCAGGCTATTTGTAAAGGAATAACTTACAATTAAAATGAACTAGGCCATTTGAAAAAAAAAACTTATATTGAAATAATTTAAAGGAAACAGTGCTTTTTTTTAAACATATTTCTAATGCAGATGATGGCTATGATAAGCCAATTGGAATTGATTCGCTGGATAATAAATTTAATTTGTGCTTCTGCGGAACATTTTAGAATTTTCGTCTGTTTATTTCTTACACCAATTACTTTAAGATTTTTAAATGCATTTTTTGAAATTCAAAATGAAAGATTTGTTAATGCAACGGTAATGCCTCAATCATCACCGTATATTTATTCTGAGTGAAAAAGTATTTGCTGAATGAAGTAAAAACAATTAACACATACTTTATAGTTATTGTTGGAGATAATTAATTATTCATTGTGCAGATGTTGTTTGCCACTTTAAGTCGATTGAAATGTAAAGATGTGAAATACAGCTATTCATATATTATTCATATAATTGCATTATGCAATTTTAATTTCAGTTAGCAATTAAATTATTTGATTGTTAGCTAAAATCGCTAATTTCGTTAAGCAATTGTGGTTTTTTTTTTGAAATTATGAGAAACAATGAATTACAATCATTAAAAGAAACCAATTTAATAAAAATGACTGAAATAGTTGATATTACGCCTCTCATTCATTGATTTAATGATCGCATATTTAGAAGATTGAAAAAATAAGAATGCTTTGGAATCAGATATATTCAAAGTAAGAAAACAGACTAAAAAGCAAACTTCCCCTTCAAGCACTACGATAGAGATTTAATCCACTGAGATACTGCGGGAAGCGATATAAATGAATTAATTATACAAATACTAAATTTGAGAAATGCAAAAATCAAATTTTTCTGTAGATTTCTACAGAATGATTCATAAATTGGGCAACTTCACAATCTGCTAGTTTCTGATAATTTTAATAATCATAAATTGCTGATCTGTATAAATAAACTTAAATCTCTAGCACATCCATTTTTTCAATGAAAGCTAGCAATCCTATTGGACAAAAAATTTAAAGAAAAAATAATTTGTTTTAAAAATTGAGAAGAAATAAGCGTTCAAATTTTAAATTTGACCTTATCTCCCTCTCTTTCAATCTATTAGTTAATTTCATAAGCATTAAAAGCACATGATAAATGAAATTAATCGAGCTGTAAATTTATCACCTCAAATATTAAATTCATTTATATCATTGAATTTGCTATCAAACTATCACTGACTTAATCTTCTGCTCTTTTTTTTTTTCAAATTATTTCGAATTCTAAACAGGTATACTCTCCTGATACGCTATGCCTAAACATAATAAGACAAATGAATGAAATATTTCATTAAACTTTATTTCTTTTTGGCTACAAATATGGCACATTTGTTAAGTGACTTTTACGGCAAACTTTGTCGTTTGTACTTCCGGCAACTTATTTTTAAAAAACGCAACAAATTATTTTTAAATTTTTGAAAATGAATTTTGATACGAAAAGGCGCAAAAAGAACCTGTAAATTTTGCGTTTTTCTTCATCTCTTTCGGTCCTATTCCGTTCCCTCATATTTGCAATCCTTTTTTCAAAGTATTTTATAAATTATTGCTATGGAGGGAATTGTTTTTAGTCATGAATTATATCAACGAGTATAAGTAAAATTTGTTCCTCTTCCTTTTTTTTTTTTCAATTTTCATTTTTTTTGTAAATGAGGCGAAATGATGATAGCTTTTCAAACAAATGTTTTACATTACCTGAATTTCATAAAGTTAAATGTCATATGTTTTTCTTTTTTTCTCTTTAAATACATATTATTTATTTAAATGACTAAGACTTTTCGTTATTGAAGACAAAATTAAAGTGTTTTCATCCTGCCTTTGATCATGAATTAAATAGCCCAGTGCAGCCACTTCATTGTCTAATAGAAAAATTGATGCTAACATCTCGTTATTTCTAATTATAATTTCATTTGGAGAAGTTGTAAACAAAATCATTGATCTCATGCAAGCAAACTCTTTCTTTCATTTTAATCAGATTTTTCATTTCCTATTCCTTTCCTTATCAACTATTTTTAAGTAAATAATCACCACTAATTAAATTTATGAAGCTATTTCATCAATGAAAATTTAATATTTCAAATTTTCCATCAACAATCAAATCTTAATTCAATGTTTTTATTTATTATAAAAAAAAAATTTGAAATTCTGAAAACTTAATTTCATCTCAACTTCCTTTAGCTGTTTTTTTTTTGTAACCATAATCATTTGTATATCAATATTTTGTTTTTTTATTTAAATTGTAATAATAAACTTCGATATTTACAACTTCACAAATAAAACTATTCCGTTTATTTCATAAATTTGGAAACAAAAAAAGAAATGACATAACGACAATGATTTTAACGGAAATTGATCACTTTTCTAATACATCATTAAATTTCTAAATTAATAGCAAAAATTTGACAATAGCAAAATTTCCATTTATATTACATCCGTAAAAAAGAATGCATGTCTGTCAATTATTTTAGTAAATAAATAAGAGGGCGGTGTAATGAAATGAAATGAGAAAAAGTGAAGTTAGCTGTTATTGTGTGTGCAACATTTAACGATATGCTAACATTTATGTGACGCAGTTTGTTAGTCAATCAAATTTTCTAATATATTTAATGGTTGAATATCAGTAATGGAGCAAAATGGCTTCTTCAATTGTATTTCATACTATCAGTCACTTAGCTTCCGAAATATCCATTTTTTTTTTATTTAAAGTTACTAGGTAGCAATGAAAAGAAGTTATTACATAAAAGTATTATTACGAAAAGGTCAAAGTTGAAACAGGAAGATAAGATTTAAATTTTAGGAGGATAAAAAATTTGAATTTTAAGAATTTAGTTTATATTGAGAATATTTAGATGTTAATAATCAGTTTTTATAATAGTTAATTCTATTATGATGCTTTGCAAATTTATTTCAAATTATATAGTTATTTTAACAATTAATTACATGTTTTTTCTTTTATTATAATTTTGAATTAATTCTGAATTATGAATTAATTCTATCATGATGCTTTACAAAATTTTTTAAATTATGCAATTATTTTTAAATTATGCAATTATTTTTTTTTAATTGTTCCGGATAAGAATTTCACAAAAAGCAGTTTATTTCAAATTTCATTTTTATCATTTTTTTTGTAGAGTTTATTAATTATGGGATAGCAGCAGTTTATATTTTAAAGTTTATTAAAACATCATTTGATTCAAAAGTAATATTTTCATGTTACTATCATTTAGTCGAAATGAACAATTTTGTCGTAGCAGACTTTATAAATTCAAAAAATATGTCAAAATATTGATACTTAAGTACTGACACCTATCTAATGTTGAAATTTTGATTACTATCAACATTCTTTATATTGTCATTTTTTTTTTAACACAATAAAAATTAGCAATAGAAAAAACTGGAACAGATGTTGTTGCAGTTTCCATTTGTATTTGCAAAATTCACAATAGTTTAAATTCAACAAATTTGAAGCTGAATGAATCATAGGTATCCCTCGTTCATTAAATGATAATAGAATATCTATAAAAATTTAATATCAATTTAATTCGTCACCTACATTGACCGTCGTAAGAATTTTTAGATTTGAAAATTTACTGTAAATTGAAAAGCTATCATTTATTTGCAATAAATATAATATTAACAGTATTTCTTTAGCATAATTAAATAATTCATTCCATAAATAAAGTAACGTTGGAACTTATAAATCAATTATAGAAAGACAACAAAATATGTTTTTATTTTTTTTTTTACTTGGAAATCATTCTTATAACGCTTTAAAAGTTTTATAAATGTCTTTATAATTACAGGAATGTAACTTGTTAATTAATTGATGTTTTGTAATCTGTGAAAACATCACATTTGAATTTTAAAATTTTTTTATGATAAAAAAATTTTTATAATTGATTTATCTTTATAATCGATATCATCTTTTATCGTTGTCAAAAAATGATTTTCTGGAGAAATTTAAAGCAGAAATGCATTCATTCTTGTACAATGACAAAATTGTTTTTAATAACAGTAACATAAGAAAATTTTTGAGGTGCAAATATTTGTTTCATATTTGAAAAAATGTTCTGAAATTAATAAATTCACACTTCCCAACATCAACTGACATTTGGCAATTTTGGAATTTAAATATTATTTCTTGCGCTATCAATAAATAATTTCTATCTTCATCCCTATGCTTAAAATTACAACGAAATGCATATATAGATATATATATCATATTGATCAGATAAGATCATCCAATTATTACTGATCTCTCTGTTTACTATTCTATTCAAATAAGCCTTGTTTCTTTGATGATAAGCATAACTATAAAATGTTTATAATTTAAAGAAACAAAGGCATTGAAACAAATAATGATCTGATATGTAATATACTTATTTGTGTAATTTTTTTTACTGATTTGACAATGCACTAAACGTTTTTTTTAATATTTAAAACTCTTGCTTTTTACATAATAGGACAGGTCAATTATATATGAAAATTTCAGGCTTTGTGTGCTTTTAGCCATGAAAATGACATGTGCATTGTTTTTCGTATTTGGTAAGAAGTTTTTTTGGTTTTGGGTTTTTTTTTCTTTCGCGAAAAAGTTTATGGAACATTATTTTTTTTTTTGATGATATTTCTAACATACTCTATCAATAACTTTAACTTATAGTAAATGAACCAAATAAAAGTTAAATAGTTTTATAAAATTTTTTTGGAGAAAAAAGGTTAAAATTTTTTTGGGGAGATATTTTCAAATTTTCTTATCTTTTATC